CTTCACTGCAAAGGCTCCGCCTCCTGGGTTCACGCCATTTCTCTGCCTCAGCCTCCTGAGTAGCTGGGACTATAGGCCCCGCCACCACGCCCAGCTAACTTTTTTTTTTTTTGTATTTTTTTAGTAGAGACGGAGTTTCACCGTGTTAGCCAGGATGGTCTCGATCTCCTGACTTGTGATCCAGCCTGCCTCGGCCTCCCAAAGTGCTTAGGATTACCAGGCGTGCAGCACCGCCCCGGCAGAATAACTTCTATATATAACTCTCCATTCCCAGAGTCTATAATTTCACATTTTTTTCCTGCTGTCTCAAGCCAATCTTTCTTATAATTCTTCTCTCAATACTTTAAAAACAGGGTTTCACTCTGTCGCCCAGGCTGAAATGCAGTGGTGCCATGATAGCTCACTGTAGCCTTGATTTCCTGCGCTCAAGTGATTCTCCTGCTTCAGCCTCCTGAGTATCTTAGAACTACGGGGACATGCCACCACGTCTTGCTAATTTCATAAATTTTTTGTAGAGATAGGGTCGTCATGTGTTACCCAGGCTGGTCTTTTTTTTTTTTTTTGAGACGGAGTTTAGCTCCCAGGTTGGAGTGCAATGGCACGATCTTGGCTCACGGCAAGCTTTGCCTCCTGGGTTGAAGCGATTCTCCTGCCTCAGCCTCCCGAGTAGCTGGGATTACAGGCATGCACCACCACGACCGTCTAATAACGTATTTTTAGTAGAGACGGGGTTCCTCCACGTTGGTCAGGCTGATCTCAAACTGCCGACCTCAGGCGATCCACCTGCCTCAGCCTCCCAAAGTACTGGGATTACCTATGTGAACCACCGCACCCGGCCCTGTTTAAGTGTTTACTACAAGAACTGCACTGGGTTAAGTTTTGGGGAAGAAAAGAATGGGGTCAATCAGAAGCCAAATATGGCCGGGCGTGGTTGCTCACGCCTGTAATCCCAACACTTTGGGAGGCCGAGGCGCGCAGATCACAAGGTCAGGAGATTGAGACCATCCTGGCTAACACCGTGAAACCCCGTCTCTACTAAAAACACAAAAAATTAGCCAGGCGTGGTGGCGGGCACCTGTAGTCCCAGATACTCGGGAGTCTGAGGCAGGAGAATGGCATAAACCCGGGAGGCGGAGTTTGCAGTGAACCGAGATCGCGCCACTGCACTCCAGCCTGGGAGCTAAACTCCGTCTCAAAAAAAAAAAAAAAAAAGACCATAACCTGGGTAACACATGACGACCTGGGCGACAGAGCGAGAGTCCGTGTCTCAAAAAAAAAAGGCAAATATGGGCCTGGCGCGGTGGCTCATGCCTGTAATCACAGCACTTTGGGAGGCCGAGACGGGCAGATCACCTGAGGTCAGGAGTTGGAGACCAGCCAGACCAACATGGAGAAACCCCATCTCTACTAAAAATACAAAATTAGCCAGTCGTGGTGGCTCGCCTGTAATCCTAGCTACTCTGGGAGGCTAAGGCAAGAGAATCGCTTGAACCCGGGAGGCGGAGGTTGCCGTGAGCCAAGATCGCGCCATTGCACTCCTGCCTGGGCAACAAGAGCGAAACTCCATCTCCAAAAAAAAAAGGCCAAATATGTGTTTCTAATTCTTGAAGAGGAGAAGACAGGAGGAAAAGAGGAAAGACATAAATGAAGGTAAAGTTAAACAATACAAAATATTTAAATAACAACAACTCAAGAGGACAAATATTATGAAACAATGCATATATGGACAATTTTTTGTTTTTAGAGACAGAGTTTCATTCTTGTTGCCCAGGCTATAGTGCAATGGTATGATCTCAGCTCACCACAACCTCCAATTCGTGGGTTGCAGTGATTCTCCTGCCTCCCAAGTAGCTGGGATTACAGTCATGCACCACCATGCCTAGCTAATTTTGTATTTTTAGTAGAGACGAGTTTCTCCATGTTGGTCAGGCTAGTCTCGAACTCCCGACCTCAGGTGATTCACCAGTCTCGGCCTCCCAAAGTGCTTTGATCACAGGCGTGAGCCACCACACCCAGTCTTTTTTTGTTTTTTGAGACGGAGTTTCGATCTTGTCGCCCAGGCGGGAGTGCAATGGCAGATCTCAGCTCGCTGCAGCCTCCTCCCGTGTTCAAACAATTCTCCTGTCTCAGCCTCCTGAGTAGCTGGGATTACAGGTGCCCACCACCATGCCCAGCTAATTTTTGTATTTTTTAGTAGAGAGGGGGTTTCACACATGTTGGCCAGGGTGGTCCTGAACTCCTGACTGTTGGGAACAGGCCCCCCAAAATCTGGCCATAAACTGGCCCCAAAACTGGCCATAAACAAAATCTCTGCAGCACTGTGACACGTTCATGATGGCCATAACGCCCACCCTGGAAGGTTATGGGTTAAGTGGAATGAGGGCAAGGAACATCTGGCCCACCCAGGGCAGAAAACCGCTTAAAGGCGTTCTTAAATTACAAACAATAGCATGAGTGATCTGTGCCTTAAGAACATGCTCCTGCTGCAGATAACTAGCCCAACTCATCCCTTTATTTTGGCCCATCCCTTTGTTTCCCTTAAGGGATACTTCTAGTTAATCTAATATCTATAGAAACAATGCTAATGACTGACTTGCTGTTAATAAATACATGGGTAAATCTCTTTTGGGGGCTCTCAGCTCTCCAGGCTGTGAGACCCCTGATTTCCCACTTCACACCTCTATGTTTCTCTGTGTGTGTGTGTGTCTTTATTTCCTGTAGTGCCGCTGGATTAGGGTCTCCCTGATTGAGCTGGTCTTGCCACCTGACTTCAGGTAATTCACCTGTCTCGGCCTCCCAAAGTGCTGGGTTTACAGGCGTGAGCCACCGCGCCCAGCCTCATGGCCAATTTTTAACTGCCCACTGAACTATGCAGCTGGATGTTGCTTTAAGAATTTAGAGGAGGTCAGGGCTGTTGACTCACGCCTGTAATCCCTGTACGTTGGGAGGTCAAGGCAGGCCGACAGCTTGAGTCCAGAGTTCAAGACCAGTCTGAGCAACATGGCAGAATCAGCTAAGTGTGCTGGTGCCCGCCTGTGATTCCAGCTGCTCAAGAGGCTGAGATGGGAAGAATACTTGAGCCTGAGAGTTGGAGGCTGCAGGGAGCCGTAATCGCACCACTGCACACCAGTCTGGGCGACAGAGTGAGACCCTGTGTCAAAAATAAATAACTTAAAAAAAAAACTCCATCTAAATCCTGTCTACTTCCAAGACTCAACTACACACACATACACACACACACACACAAAATCTTGGCCGGAGGCGATGGCTCATGCCTGTAATCCCAACACTTTGGGATGCCGAGGCGGGCGCATCAACTGAGGTTGGGAGTTCAAGACCAGCCTGACCAACATGGAGAAACCACGTCTCTACTAAAAATACAAAATTAGCCGGCGTGGTGGCGCATGCCTGTAATCCAGTTATTCGGGAGGTTGAGGAAGGAGAATCGCTTGAACCCGGGAGGCAGAGGTTGCAGTGAGCCGAAATCACACCATTGCACTGCAGCCTGGGCAATAAGAGGGAAACTCTGTCTCAAAAATAAATAAATAAATAAATAAATAAAAGTTGAATCACAACATCTTCCTCTGAAAGGTTGTAGTGATGTTTAAAATGAGATAATAGGCTGGGTGGGTCACGCCTTGTAATCCGAGCACTTTGGGAGTCCCAGCACTTTGAGGGTAGGAGTTCGAGATCAGCCTGGGTAACATGGCTGAGATAACGACTATACAGTGAATGGCACATAGTAAGTGGTTAGCTAATGTTTAACTCAGCCCCACTCTTCAATGATCCTTGTGGGCACTTCTTCACAAAGTTGCAGGGTATTTCTGTAGTCCTCTCTCCAGTATTTTTCAGTATTTGTTCCAGCACACACTAGGTCTTCCACAAAAATGATTGAGTGAAAACCCCTGGCGGCGGGAAACCGGGGTGGGGGTGTGGGGAGGGGCACCCCAACACAAACACACAGAAAATGCTACTGCAGAACATCGGTTACTGGGCAGAGGTACCTTTCAGAACCCCTAGGGTGCCCTCACATCCTGCCTGGCTGGCCTGATTCAAATGGTTCATTTAACCAAGGTCAAATTAAAATCTTGGCTGCCACTAAAATCCAGGAACCGTCACTTTTCCCAGATGAGAGAGACAGTTGCTCAATTAGAATCAGCAGCGGTAGGCCCAAAAGATCCCGCCTCCTCCACAGGGCGAACCTATCACCGCTCCTTCAGCGATGAGCGGCAGCTCTCTAGGAGCCAATGAGTTCCTCCCCATGGAAGGAACCCGCCCACCCCTTGTGTCGTCACCAGATCTCTTAAAAAGATGGAACCTCAGCGGCCCTTCCTCGTAGCGAGCCTAGTGGCGGGTGTTTGCGTTGAAACGTGAGCGCGACCCGACCTTAAAGGGGAGGGAGCAAAGGAAGGACAGAGCCCTTTAAAACGAGGCGGGTGGTGCCTGCCCCTTTAAGGGTGGGGCGTCCGGACGACTGTATCTGAGCCCCAGACTGCCCCGAGTTTCTGTTGCAGGCTGCGAGGAAAGGCTCCTAGACTGGGTCCGGGTGCTCGGCGGCGGCGGCTTCCTCCCCGCTTGTCCTCCCCGGGCCCGGAGGCACCCCAGCTCCAGTCATGCTGAGCAGAGTATGGAAGCACCTGACTACGAAGTGCTATCCGTGCGAGAACAGCTATTCCACGAGAGGATCCGCGAGTGCATTGTGAGTGCGGGGCCCCGGCGGGGAGAAGCGGGGGTTGCGGGAGAGGGGTAGGTTGGGGTCCGAGCCCACCTGGTCTCAGAGCGCCGTCAAACCATGCCTGGGCCAGCGGCGGGCGACGGAGGCCTCCGTCCTAGCAGAAGGGCGGGTGCCGGGCTAGCGATCCCCTAGATGGGATCAGCTGGGTCCCTGAGCGGTAAACAAAGGCCGTCGTTTCCGTTCCTCCCCAACACGCCCCTCCCTGCCCCTCCCTCCCACCCCTCACCCAGCGCGTCTGAGAGCCTGCGGAGTCCGCCTTAGTCTGATAATCGGGGAAGGATGGGTTTGCTTCTCAAACTGGGTTGAGGGCAAACCCAGCTGACGTTGGATGAAGGGGAGAAATCGTCACTCTGAGCTTGATTCCAGAAAAGAGGGGAGGTGTAGGGATGGCAGACGGGAGGAACCTGGGGACTTGGTGGGTCATCTCCTGCTTTGGAAGAAAGGAGTCTTACTAGGGTGGATCCTAATATGTAGAGATGAGGAACAACCAAGTATCCAGGTATTCCCCCGTCTTTCTTCTTTCTCATTAGTGTTTGTTTGAAACCGTGCAAGGCTGGGTTCCCAGCCTCTCAGCCATTCCGGGGTTTCCCCAGTAAGTCGTCCTCCCAGGGCTGCAGAGGGTACCTGGCTGCTGTTCCTTAGGCCATCCCTGCCACTTAGAGCGACAGCTGAACCTGCCGCAGAGAAGTGGACTCCTCAATTCTGGGGTAGGGGTACCCAGTGGAGCTTAGGGAGTCATATCTTCTTCAGCCTTGCTTTGAATTCTCACCTCTCTCCTTTCTCCTCTGTTTGCTTCCCCAGAGCTCCCCAGGGCAACCCTCATCTCCAAATAGTAAATGGAAAGGGAATGGTTTGGGAAAACAGAAAGAAATGTTAGTAAGTGGGGGAACCCAGTGTTGGGGTCATTCCCTTCATTTTTCTCAGGCTGGGCTCTAGCCAGCCCTGGGCAGCCTATTGGAGGTAGGGTAAATTGAGCCAGGACATAATTAGGTCTGCTCTTATCTGTGAGGACAGGAAAGTATATTAGTCTGAGTGTGCAACTCCAGTAGAAGTTTGCTTTTGGCAAGCGTTCCTTGTGTGTTTCTTGGTGGACAGTCCACATGGTGGGTTGGGCATATTGCAGAGGCACAGCCAGGTCTTGAGACAGTGTCAGGCAGGAGGCTCACATTCCTAGAGAACAGGGAGGGATGAGACCTTGGACAGAAGCAGCCTCCTGGATGTCTCCCCCATCCTTTAGTCCCATGAGCTGAGAACATCAGTGCTGGCTAAGGGTAGCCTGAAGATTTATGGTGCCTCCCCCACCTGGCTCTCATCCAGGGGCTGGAGCGCAACCTAGCCTCTTGGAACTGCGTGGAACTCCAGCCTGACCTTTTGAGCCCTCCCACCTTCCTGGCTATTACGCAAGCCCAGGGCAGAACACAGGCTATAAAAATCTTGCAGCTACAATCTGAGTGGCTCCTTATATTCTGCTTCCCTAATGTCAAAAGCTATGACTTTGTTCTGGATCGATGGCTCTCCTGCGTCTCTGTGGATTCTTCCCTCCTTGTATAGATAGCTGTATGTGTATTCCCTGTGGGGTCAGCCCTTTCTGGAGACTGGAAGACCCATGAGACTGATCCTGTCTTCTTGGCATATCTCAAACACAATAACTTCTTTTCTTGATACCCTCTGGCCTTTTTTTTTTTTTTGAGACCTAGTCTCTGTTGCCCAGGCTGGAGTGCAGTGGCATGATCTTTGCTCACTGCAACCTCCGCCTCCCAGGTTCTAGTGCATTCTTGCCTCAGACCTCCCGAGTAGGTGGGATTACAGGCACCTGCCACCACACAAGCTTTTTTTTTTTTATTTTTTTGAGACTGAGTCTCTCTGTCGCTAGGCTGGAGTAAAGTGGCACAATTTCGGCTCACTGCAAACCTCTGCCTCCTGGGTTCAAGCAATTCTCCTGCCTCAGCCTCTCAAGTAGCTGAGACTACAGGTGCATACCACCACGCCTGGCTAATTTTTGTATTTTTAGTAGAGATGGGGTTTTGCCATGTTGGCCAGGATGGCCTTGATCTCTTGACCACGTGATCCTCCCGCATTGGCCTCCAAAAGTGCTGGGATTATAGGCATGAGCCACTGCGCCCAGCCAATTTTTGTAATTTGTTTGTTTGTTTGTTTTTGAGATGGAGTCTTGCTCTGTCACCCAGGCTAGAGTGCAGTGGTGCGATCACGGCTCACTGCAACCTCCACCAAATTCAAGTGATTCTCCTGCCTCAGCCTCCTAAGTAGCTGGGATTATAGGCACATACCGCCACACCCAGCTAATTTTTGTATTTTTAGTAGAGACGGGGGGGGGGGTTCCACCGTGTTGGTCAGGCTGGTCTCGAACTCCTGACCTCATGATCCTCCCACCTCGGCCTGCCAAAGTACTGGGATTACAGGCGTGAGCCACTGCGCTCAGCCCAATTTTTGTATTTTTAGTAAAGACAGGGTTTCACCATGTTGGCCAGGCTGGTCTCGAACTCCTGACGTCAATTGATTCACCTGCCTTGGCCTCCCAAAGTGCTGGGATTACAGGCGTGAGCCACTGTGCCTGGCCGAGACTCTCTGTTCTTGATTATAGAGCCAAGCTGGCCAATGGCTCCTCCTCTGGGCAGTACAAGCTTACTTGGAGTAGAGTAGGAATGAATATGCAGATTAACGTGGCTGAGTTCCGCCATCACTGTCACTTGACAGTCTAGCCAGCTCTAGAAACACTAGATATTGGGCCCTAGCTAAAGCCCACTGTTAGGGGTAGAGGATTAAATGAGGCTCTGGTTTGGCCCAGCAGACCTGATCTTTCAGGCCCCTGAATAAGCATGGAATAGAAGTTGTGACTTCGTCTGGAAACATGACACCTACTTTGGGTTAAGGCACCAGTGTGGGTGGAGGTAGGAGGGTAGGGTAGTGATGGGGTGCCAGGACAATGCAGACGTCTTCCTCCCCTCAAACCTGCTTCCCTTCCCAATAATGTGCTCCAAGTAAATTCCCTCTGGTTCTGTAACTGGTTTGAAATGTGTGTGCTTGTGCATTTCTAGGAGTTTTCTTTGCCCATTTACCAACCAGAGTTGGGCTGAAGCTATTTTCTCCCAGTGAAGTCCTTGTAGGGCTGGGCATGGTGCTGTTTCCCCAGGTGCATGGGGCAGCCCCTGTCTGGCCCTTCTTCGAGGTCCCTGGGGCTCTGACTAGAAGGAAGTACCTGGGGGATCAGAACAGAACATACTTCCAGATGGAACCCCTGGAAGTATGGAGCCTTATCTTAAGGAAGTAATGGCCATGGAATTAACAGAGAGGCCCTTGGCTGTGGAATGTGCTAAAGGTTAGAGCTTCTCATCCCAGCTCACATTCTGCTACAGATCTCAACACTTCTGTTTGCAACACTGTACATCCTCTGCCACATCTTCCTGACCCGCTTTAAGAAGCCTGCTGAGTTCACCACAGGTACTGTGATTTCCCTCCCTCCTGCCAGAGTTCCAGTTGCCATGGACCAGCCTCAGGGGAATGGGCCTGTGGCGCCCACTGGGAAAGGAGCAGTGGCTGTGTGGGGCTGTTCTGGAGCCTTTGCCTCTTCAGCCTCCCTTTCTGCACAGACAGGGGCAAGGGCAGCTAGATGGAAGTGTCTTCTGGGCAAGTCATATAACATTTCTGATCTTAAGTTTCATCCTACAAAATGGGCATAGTGATGTCTACCTACTCCATTGTGTGGACCAAAGGAGATGGTTAATGTGAAAGTCCTTTGTGAACCTGAAGTGAGCAACTGCCGGGTGAATGTCATTACGGGCACAGTCTCTATGTCATCTCCTCTCCTAGTGCTCCCACAGCCAGGACCAGAGACCTCCCTGATGACTGGGGCACCTGGTGATGGTGGCCTTTCTCTTTATGGGGAGCCTGAGTATGCTCAGATTGCAACTTTCCTTCCTTAGACATTGTGTAATTGGAGGTGGGGGCACACTTGCCCCAGTTTCTAGCCCCAGCCTTTCCTCCTCTCAGGATGGCTCAGGATGAGTCCCCACCCAACAAGGCAGCTACCCTAGAGTAATTCCCTTGGGGACCTTCTCTGTGAATCTCCCTTCCCCCTCCTCTCTTTTCCCTTTCCTAGACCCAGCCACTGATGTAACCAACCTCACAGACTAGTTGTTTATTATATTAATATTTTGAGCATATAAAGAGGAACCTGCGATGGGAGAGATCTAGGGAGGAGGAAAGAAGTATAGGAAAGTCGGGCCTGTATTCTCTTCACCTGGGACCACTGATTTTTAAGCTGCCACCATGGCTGGAGAATAGGCTATGGAGTTCATAATGTGTGGTCTCCTGGAGCCTTCTGTTCAGCTCTGCCTTCTTTGAGGGGGCAGGGATGGGGCGGGGAGCACATTGTAATACTTACGGCCTCAGAGCTGCCCCCTGATGTCCTGCCTCTTCCCCGTGCCTCTGTCTCTTACAGTGGATGATGCAGATGCCACAGTCAACAAGATTGCGTAAGTGTCCCTGCCTCAGCACCTAACACCAGTGGTCTTTAGGAACTGGGATCTAGGGAGGCCTAGAGCTGGAGGGAGAAGGGGGAAGTCTCACATGGTGAAGAGAGAGTTTCTGTTTCCACCCCATTTCTGGCTTCCGGCTTTACCTCACCCTGGGGACGCTCAGAAAAGCTGCTGTTCCTGTCTTCCTGGTTAGGCCAGGAGCTTGTGGGAGCCTCATGGCCAGGAACATCCGCTGGGGCCTGAGTCACCGGAAATGGCTCCAGCTTGGCTTCACCTCCCAGCGACCAGAGTGGGGATGCAGATTGATAGAAAAAGAGCAGGGTGTGGGGAAGATGGGAACCCCTGAAGAAGGGGCATGCTTGGTTCTGAGAGGAAGGCCCATATTCCAGGCTGCCAATGTTCACTAGCACATACAGAGAAAGAGAGAGAGATGACTCCTCTGAGTTAGTAGATCAGAAGGTAGCCCTCCACCCTTGATGGACCAACGAGATAGAAGTGCCCCTCTTCAGTGTATGCAGCCCAGGGCATAGACCTTGGCTATGAAGCTAGGTTTCAGTTTCCCCTTGTCCTCCTTTGCCCTCATGCCTTTGTGCAGGGCATAGCCACATAGGATGACCCTGTGCTTATCTGGGCAAAAAGAGGTAAGCTCAGAAATCCATATCCCTGAGCAAAGAAGAGAAGCCAGGCCCCCTAGCTTTGGCATCATACCTGGCATAACTTATAGGCATGTATGGGAGGACCACATTCCTGGGGACAGCCTGGGTATGTGACATGGCAGGTGACGGGCTTCCCATGAATGCCCGAAGCTGTGCCCATCCCATGAGCTGGGGCTTCCCTGGAGGTAAAGGGCTAGGGCGAGCCGGCAGTGGGTAGAACCCCAGCTGGACGGCTCCTTCCTTAGCTCTGTCATTGCTACAGCTGGTTCTGGAAGCCACAGGTGCCCTCAGGACAAATGGAACTTCTCCAGCACAGTGTAGTGAGTGCTGAGCTAAGCAAGGACACTCTCCCCTTCTCTGCCCAGGCTCGAGCTGTGCACCTTTACCCTGGCAATTGCCCTGGGTGCTGTCCTGCTCCTGCCCTTCTCCATCATCAGCAATGAGGTGCTACTCTCCTTGCCTCGGAACTACTACATCCAGTGGCTCAACGGCTCCCTCATCCATGGTTTGTGGCTCCTAGAGGCGGCTTGGGGTGGGGATAGGGAGCAGAGAGCAGATAGAGTCGGGCAGACTCAGGCAGCCGTGGGCCAATCAGTCATGTGTCGCACCTTCCCTCTCCGCTTCTCCTGCAAATGGTCAGTCTCCTGTCGGTTGCCCCTCCCTTTACTGACCATCTCTGCTTTTCCTTTTTTGCTCTAGGCCTCTGGAACCTTGTTTTTCTCTTCTCCAACCTGTCCCTCATCTTCCTCATGCCCTTTGCATATTTCTTCACTGAGTCCGAGGGCTTTGCTGGCTCCAGAAAGGTAAGTAGGGGATATGTATCCAGGCAGGAAACGGAATTCCACACACATGGTTCAACTGAAGAGATTTTAATAAAGAGGCTATTTGCAGAGGTTTAGTTAAAGGAAGTTTGAGGCTCTAGTGACAGTAGGAAGTCATTACCACCCTTAGGCCTGTAGAGACAAAGGGAGGAAATAGTTTCTAGAACCCACTAATAGCTGAAGCCAGGGATGTGAAGCTGCCCAGAGAGGAGCTGTTGTCTTTGTGTCATAATTACTGCCAAAACCATGGTGGCAGACGTGGGAGGACTCACAGGAAACATACCCTCACCTCTTTTCTACCTTCCATTCTCCTGTTGGATGCGAAACTAGAGGGCAAAGAGCTTGTGGGATGCAGACCTCAGAGGTCAGCCTCCCAGAGCAGACAACGACAAGGAATGGGTCTGGGAAAAGGAGATGCAAATGAAGAACACCTGGTATGTGGGGTGACCTTAGACTGGGGAGTGGGAAGACAGAGCAACTTAGCAGAATAAGGGGAAAACCCTCTCTCTTATCTCCTGAATCCAGACCTCTCTGGTTCCCGCAGGCTGGCCACCATCTCTGATGTCTTTCCATCCCCACACTGCCCTGATGTTAACCTCCTTCACCTGTTGCCTCCTTCCGTAGGGTGTCCTGGGCCGGGTCTATGAGACAGTGGTGATGTTGATGCTCCTCACTCTGCTGGTGCTAGGTATGGTGTGGGTGGCGTCAGCCATTGTGGATAACAACAAGGCCAGCAGAGAGTCACTCTATGGTGAGTGGCCCAGCTTCCTCCAGGCTGTGTGGCTTTTCAGTTGGCCCATGTCCACCTGCCTGGAAAGACTATAACCTACTAAAGTGGAAAAGGTTGGCACCTTCTCCCTTTGACTGAAGTTTCAAACTGATAGACATCTGGCCAAATCCAATCTGCAGAAATGTTTCATTGGCCTATGCAATGGTTTTTAAAATATGTATTATTCAGTTGCTAACATTTTAAATTGGGAGGTTTCATATTAACATCTAGATATCTAACTTTGCTTGACAAGGAGAAGATCTGGCTACATTAGTCCCTGGTGATGGGGGCCAAATAGCAGTTATACCCTTTAGTTAGGGGTTAGGATCTCCCGTTGGTTATAGGCCCTGCCATTCCCTCTTCTGCTGATGCTGGCCAGCTTTCTTCATTTGTATTACTTGCCTAACAGCTGTGGGGACTGTGCCCTTGTCTAGACTCTGAGGCCTGTCAGCCCCCAGTAAGCAAGAAGAGATGAGCTGACATCCTCTTTTTTTTTTATCCTTAGACTTCTGGGAGTACTATCTCCCCTACCTCTACTCATGCATCTCCTTCCTTGGGGTTCTGCTGCTCCTGGGTGAGTGTACAGGGTCTGGGAGGGAATGGGTAGGGTCCTTGGACCAGAGTAACCAGGCTGGAAGGAGGGGGAATGGAGGGGCATGTTAGGCAAGGGGTGGAGAGCAGGGTCTGGCAGGTGACTGGCTCTTGTTCTCACAGTGTGTACTCCACTGGGTCTCGCCCGCATGTTCTCCGTCACTGGGAAGCTGCTGGTCAAGCCCCGGGTATGTGGTATTCCTTGCTCTTTGATCCTGCAGGGTGAGCTTCCTGCAGAGCTGGAACCAAACAATGAAACAACCCTATGGTTGTGTAGTGCACAACTTGCAGAGGGCTGCAGCCTTTGTTGGTTCCTGTATCCTGTACCCCTATCATGCAGAGCTGGTCACCAGACATGCAGGGCAGAATACAGGGCAACTGGGAGGGACTGAGCAAAGCTGCGGGCCACAGGGTGGTGAATGAGGGTTTGGGGGAGGCCTGAGACTACGGAGCCCTGGGAAGAACAGGGTTCTCCTGGGGCCTTTGGGTCAGGGAGCCTCTGAAAGTCAGTCTCTTCCTTTCCCCTGCCCCTAGTTGCTGGAAGACCTGGAGGAGCAGCTGTACTGCTCAGCCTTTGAGGAGGCAGCCCTGACCCGCAGGATCTGTAGTGAGTTGCAGTTCTTCCCTGATGGGGTGGTGGGCTTGGCCTGGGCAGAGACTGCCCAACTTGGGAGCAACACCATCTTCTCTGCCCTCAGATCCTACTTCCTGCTGGCTGCCTTTAGACATGGAGCTGCTACACAGACAGCTCCTGGCTCTGCAGACACAGAGGGTCCTGCTGGGTATGTGGGTTGGTAGGGCTTGGGATACCTGGGTTTCCCCAAGGAGAGTAGCCCCTGGTTCCAGGTGCTTGCTGACAGCCTCCCATCCCTGCACAGAGAAGCGGCGGAAGGCTTCAGCCTGGCAACGGAACCTGGGCTACCCCCTGGCTATGCTGTGCTTGCTGGTGCTGACGGTGGGTATACCAGCCCTAGAGGTGGGGAGTGGACCCTCAGTACTCGAGGCCTTCTCAGGGAGAAGGGAGGCGATGAGGGGACCTAGTTATCATCAGTAATAGTGGTTGCTTCTCACTGAGTGCCTGCTTTTATGTCCTGCCTGTGCTGAGCACAAATGTTGAGCACATCAATCCTCATTTTGTAGATGAAGAGACAGAGTTGAGTGACTTGCCCAGGGTCACACAGGGTCAGTGAGTAGTTGTGCAGGTTTGCCCTGGCATGAGAATAAGCAGTCGATTCCCCTATGGACTCAAGAATATATCTTATCAGTTGGAGGAAGAGAGATGCCTTTTCCTATTAATCCTTTTCGCAATCCATCCACCTAGGGGAGATGTATCTTATAATGTCCTCAAAGACACTCTGTTGCTAATAACAGCTTTGATGAGGTCCCATACAGCTCATTGGAAGCGGAGCTAGTCTTGGAAACTGGAAATGTTGGACCAGAGTCTCTGCCCATTCCTTTAGCTCTGGGTCGAGCTGTGGTCTGGGGTGGGATGGGAGTCTGACCTTGCCTCACACAGGGCCTGTCTGTGCTCATTGTGGCCATCCACATCCTGGAGCTGCTCATCGATGAGGCTGCCATGCCCCGAGGCATGCAGGTACCAGGCTGCCCTCCCACCATATCCTTTGGGGAGGGCCTAAGAACAGCTGGGGAGAGGAGGCAGAAGCTGAGGACAGTGGGAAGGCTGGGTGCTGGGTAGTGCTGATGGTGGGGAATGCTCACAGTGACACTGCCCCACTCCTCAGGGTGCCTCCTTAGGCCAGGTCTCCTTCTCCAAGCTGGGCTCCTTTGGTGCCGTCGTTCAGGTTGTACTCATCTTGTATCCTTCTGGAATACAAAAACCTGTCTCCTGGGACTCTAGACAGCACTTCTTGGACTTTGTCTCCTTTGGGACTCTGAGCAACACTGATGGGAAATGGGGCAAGTTTTCATCAACCTCGGGTTCAGAAAGAAGGAAAATACTTAATTTTGAAAGGAGAGCTAGCTGGTGGTTCAGTAGAATCTGATCAGAAGAAAATAAAAAAGAGGCCGGATGCAGTGGCTCACACAGTGCTAATCCTAGCACTTTGGGAGGCTGAGGCGGGTGGATTTCTTGAGCTTAGGATTTCAAGACCAGCCTGAGCAACATGGTGAAACCCGGTCTCTACAAAAAATACAAAAACTTAGCCGGGCGTGGTGGTGCGTGCTTGCATTCCCAGTTATGTGGGAGGCTGATGTGGGAAGATCGCTTGAGCCCAGAAGGTCAAGGCTGCAGTGAGCTGAAATCGCACCACTGCACTCCAGCCTGGGTGACAAAGTGAGATCCTGTCTCAAAAATAAATAAATAAATAAGAAGTGGGCTGAGAGAGAGCTCTGTTCCCTTTGAGATGAGTTATTAATTCTTAGGAGCCAGCCAGTTCTTCCTTAATGCAGTGGCAGTTACCTAATGGTGTCCTCAGTTGTGGGCTTCTATAGCTCTCCACTCTTCCGGAGCCTGCGGCCCAGATGGCATGACACCGCCATGACGCAGGTAGCTGGGAGGGAGTAAGGGAAGCCTCCTGTGGGGTGTGGATGGGCACTAGGTAGGTGCCTGCAGCTCTTCCACCCTCACCACTCCTTTCCCTGTTTCCACCCAGATAATTGGGAACTGTGTCTGTCTCCTGGTCCTAAGCTCAGCACTTCCTGTCTTCTCTCGAACCCTAGGTAAGTATTGAAAGGAGGAAATAAAGGAATTGGATTTTTTTTGAGTACTTACTGATGTAAAGCAGGCACTTTATATACATGCTTTCTCTAATTCCCACAACAAACCCGTGAGTAGGTATTATCCGCATTATACAGATGAGGAAAGCGAGGCTCTGTAAAGTGCCTACACTGAGCTTCAGGGTACTGTTGCTGCAAAGTACATACTTTTTACATTTGCTACTGCCTCTCTCATTTACTTCTACTTTTGGTCGGGGAGCACACTTTTTTCTAAATCTTTCTCCTGGGTGAGTAATCTAGTAAATGTTCCTGTTTGAAAGATGATAAACAGAGAAGCTACCTGATTGACCCAGATTATACAGCTAGTTTGAGGCAAGGTCAAGTCAGTCTAGGACCCTTGTCTCCTGAACCCCAGGCTAGTGCTTTCTCTACACTGGGGTGTCAGATAATATACTCATTCCTTCTCCTGCCTTAAGAGCTATATCTATAATTAACTGGTTAAAAAGTTCAAGAGTGGCTGGGCGCAGTGACTCATGCCTGTAATCCCAGCACTTGGGAGGCCGAGGCGGACGGATCACCTGAGGTTGGGATTTCGAGACCAGCCTGACCAACATGGAGAAACCCCGTCTCTACTAAAAATACAAAATTAGCCAAGCGTGGTGGCGCATGCCTGTAGTCCCAGCTACTCAGGAAGCTGAGGCAGGAGAATCACTTGAACCCAGGAGGCAAAGGTTGCAGTGAGCTGAGCTCGTGCCATGCACTCCAGCCTGGGCAACAAGAGCGAATCTTCATCTCAAAAAAAAAAAAAAAAAAAGTTTGAGAATGTAACTAGTTCACCCCAAGGTAGTATGTGAGCTGCAGAGGTAACAACCGCCCTCCTACCTCCCCCTAAATACCACATCACCCTCTGTGTTTTATATGTGATTTCATATTTAAATCGGTTCTGGGGCCAGGCCTGGTGGCTCACGTCTGTAATCCCACACTTTGGGAGGCCAAGGTGGACGGATCGGCTTGAGGCCAGGAGTTTAAGACCAGCCTAGCCAACATGGTGAAACCCCATCTTTATGAAAAATTTAAAAATTAGCCAGGTATGGTGGCACATGCCCGTAATCCCAGCTGGGGCGTGAGAATTGCTGGCTTGGGAGGTGGCTGAGGCATGAGAATTGCTTGAGCTTGGGAGGTGGAGGTTGCAGCGAGCCAAGATGGTACCACTGCACTCCAGCCTGGGTGACAGAGCAAGAGTCTGTCTCAGAACAAAAAAAAAAAAATCAGCTGTGATCCAGGCACAGTGGTTCACGCCTGTAATCCCAGCACTTTGGGAGGCCAAGGTGGGAGGAGCACTTGAGGCCAGGAGTCCTAGACCAGCTTGAGCAACATAGTGAGACCCCATCTCTACCCAAAAAAAAAAAAGTTTTTGGTTTTTTTTTTTAATTAGCACACCTATAGTCCTAGCTATGTGTGAGACGGAGGCAGGAGGATTGCTTGGGCCCAGGAGTTTGAAGCTGCAGTGAACTAAGATTGTGCAACTGCACTCCAACCTGGGCAACAGAGCAAGACCCTGTCTTAAGACAAAACCAAGTTAAATGAAACAAAAAACAGCTCTGTTTAATTCTTAACGTTATATTATTTCCACTCTACCATTTGTATTTATGCCAGGAGAATTTGTAAGACAGTAGGCTTGTGGGTCTTCCAGTTAGTTCCTTTAGGTTGGATGCAGGTAAGAATATTTACAGGTGGGGAGCAGAGTTTTTTGATTTATGATAGTATTATGAGGGGCCCAGTAAATGTTAGAATAGTGCCTGGCACAGACAGTGCTTTATGTGTGTTGTCTCATTTAATTCTTAGGAAACTGAGGCACAGAAAATTTAAGGAAATTGCCCCAGATCACACAGCTAGTTAGGGGTGGAGTTGGGATATGAACCAAAGCAACCTGATCAGTCTGAGCGCTCAGCAACCACACTGTTCTGTCTACTAAAAAAACTTGGTGAACTGCTTGTTCCAGGCCCAGGAACAAGTAGTAGGCCCTGGGAGTTCCTGGGAACACCAGTAGCCAGAGGAGGCCCTCACTGGAGGAGAAGATACCAGACTCTGGAAGCGAAGCTGAAGCAAGCCTAGCTGCTGACACTTTGAACAGTCCCGAACTGCTAGTCAGCTTGCCGAGTAGAATTGGGAGAGGCCAACCTATCGGTTGCAGTGTTGAAATGTGGCCACCAGGAGGCAGCACAAAGTTGGACTGGTAGCAGAAAAGGGCCTGGAGAGCCCACCTCTCATCCTGGCCTTTGTACTTCAGGGCTCACTCGCTTTGACCTGCTGGGTGACTTTGGACGCTTCAACTGGCTGGGCAATTTCTACATTGTGTTCCTCTACAACGCAGCCTTTGCAGGCCTCACTACACTCTGTCTGGTGAAGACCTTCACTGCAGCTGTGCGGGCAGAGCTGATCCGGGCCTTCGGTGAGAGGGAGTGAGGGTGCAGGCTGTTGGGGGGTGGTAGTTATCTAGGACACTCTGGATCACGGGTCACCCCGTCACCCCAGCAGGGGAGAGGGTGTGCTTCCTGCTTTGTGGGTAACATACCTCATCCACACATTCTGTGGCTTGGCTGTCTGGTCCCTAACGGACTGGACCTTTGACCTGCTTTTGACTGCCCATCTCCTCCTCTTCTCCAGGGTTGGACAGACTGCCACTGCCCGTCTCTGGTTTCCCCCGGGCATCTAGGAAGACCCAGCACCAGTGACCTCCAGCTGGGGGTGGGAGGGAAAAAACTGGACACTGCCATCTGCTGCCTAGGCCTGGAGGGAAGCCCAAGGCTAGCTGGACCTCAGGACCTGGAATCTGAGGGGGTGGGTGGCAGAGGGGAGCAGAGCCATCTGCACTGTAGCATAATCTGAGCCAGAGTTTGGGACCAGGACCTCCTGCTTTTCCATACTTAACTGTGGCCTCAGCATGGGGTAGAGCTGGGTGACTGGGTCTAGCCCCTGGTCCCAAATCTGTTTACACATCAATCTGCCTCACTGCTGTTCTGGGCCATGCCCATAGCCATGTTTACATGATTTGATGTGCAATAGGGTGGGGTGGGGGCAGGGAAAGGACTGGGCCAGGCCAGGCTTGGGAGATAGGTTGTCTCCCTTGCTTCTGGCCCAGCAGAGCCTAAGCACTGTGCTATCCTGGAGGGGCTTTGGACCACCTGAAAGACTAAGGGGATAGGAGGAGGCTTCACCCATCAGCAATAAAGTTGATCCCAGGATTTGCTTTGTTTTTTTAAAGCGCCTGTCTCTGTGTGTATTTGAACAGCCTTGCTCCCACCAGTCCTGAGTCTGCCCAGTAAGAGAAGCAGAGGGGTCCTGCCCACCACCATCCTTTTCCTTCCCCTTCATCTATATTACTAGTATCCTTTGGGGACTTGGATCTGGTGTTAGGCCATGCAGTTGGGCAGTGGAAAACTCCTCCATCCTCAGCCTTGCTTAAAGCTGGCTTGTCCCCTGACTCCTTATATCCATGGCCTTAGGACATGGGCATAGGAGTAGGATAACCTCCCCCGGTACACTCACACCTTCAGCCCTATCCTCCCTGGCTTAACTATTGGATGTAGAGTAAAATAAGTGGCTGGCTGACAAGGATTTTCATTTCCAACCTGAGAGAAGAACCTAGCTTTTTACTAGAGGCCATCAGTTTCTTGAAGAGCCCATGTGCTATGCTGGTGGTAAGAGCACAAAACTTAGAGTTATACAGATTGTGTATTGCACAAGTTCCAGGGACACCATTCACCTCATAGTCATTGTATGGATAGTTACTATGATAGTTTTCTCATAAAAGTCAGGCATCTTGAGGAAGGGGTGCTTTTTTCTTTTCTTTTTTCTCTTGTGAGACAAGATCTGGCTCTATCACCCAGGCTGGAGTGCAGTGGTATAGTCTCAGCTCACTGCAACCTCCGCATTCTGGGCTCAAGCCATTCTTCCAGCTCGGCCTCCAGAATAGCTAGGACAACAAACACATGCTACCATGCCTGGTTAATTTTTGTATTTTTAGTAGAGATGGGGTTTTGCCATGTTGCCTAGGCTGGTCTTGAACTCCTGAGCTCAAGCGATCCACCTGCCTTGGCCTCCCAAAATGATGAGATTACAGGGGTGAGCCACGACACCCAGCCATCTGTTTTTGGGGGGGTCTCACTGTGTCACCCAGATTAGTGTGCAGTGGCATGATCTTAGATCACTACAACCTTGAACTCTTGGACCCAAGTGATCCTCCTTCCTCAGCCTCCTGAGTACCTAAGACTACAGGCATGTACCACCATCCTCCACTAATTAATTTTTTTTTTTGAAATGGGGTCTCACTATGTTGACCAGGTTGGTCTTCAACTCATGGCCTCAAGCAGTCTTTGCCTCAGCCTCCCAAAGTGTTGGGATTACAGGAGTGAGCCACTGTGCCTGGCCTGGTTTTTTTCTAATGTATGCTAAGTTGCTATGAGTACTAGCCATAGAGTGGGGTGAGGGGAGAGTGAGTATGAAACACAAAGTGTAGATTCCACAAATACTTGCAGAGCACCCTTCTGTAGAGTAGGCACTTAACCTTGGAGATACATGATAAATATGTGTGTGCTTAAGATTGCTTTGTCTAGTAAGGTGCCAAATAATTCTAATACTGTTCTACCACTGCAGTTAAGTACTGGTTCTTGAGGGAACACAGGTGGGCAGTGTTGGGACATCAAGGAAGGCTTCTTGAAGAAATGACTTCTGAACAAAAGAAATTGGATGTGGTGCCTCTGAGATGAGATCTGAGTGGCTGAAAATGGAGCCCGGGGAGTCCAGAGAGGGAGAAAGCTGGAGAAGTGCCTAGATGGACGGTTAAGGGAAGCGATCCTCACCTCTTACAAAGACTTTTGAATGTCCACTGCCCTTCAGCAGCTTCCAACCGACAAGTTATTCATTTGAAAAGCAGCAGCTATTAGATGACTGGCAAAGAAGAGAAGGGGAAAAAAGTTGGAAGTCCTAAACCAGACAATAAGTACCAAGCTCTGTCCCTGGTTCTGGGGAAGTTCCAAAGGAGATTGTAAAGTTAGTAGAGAAATGGGCCCCTGGTATCCTCACCTCCCAGTCCTGCTTAATGCTGACTGTGAGGAGAGATGGAAGTTGGGGAGATCTGGGGCGGACCACAGAGAAGGGAGGCTCTGGTTGTCTGCTCAAAGGGCTTGGCTGGTCTTGGGTAGAAATTGGAACCCATACTTCCTGGATGACAGCGGAGGGCATGGCCTGCCAGGGTAGGCTTTGAGAGAGCAAAAATTCCAATTCGAGTATCAGAGGACGGTGGTGTGGTTCCAAGTTTAGGCTTGGAGGTAGAAGGATGTTTAGGCAGCCAAGGACTGTAAAGCTACAAGGATTTCCTAGGCAGGTGTTTGCCTGGTTTCCAGGATGGGACACACTTCAGTCGCAAAATGGACCAGCAGTGACCGGCTAGATCCCCCGCCCGGGTGAGAGGGGGTGGGACGATCTTGGGAGAAGGGCGGAGGGCGGGGCCAGGGGCCACTTAAGGCGGAGTCCGGAGTCCGGGCGTTCTGGCAGCACCAGAGTCCTGCAGCAGAGACGGGCTGGGCTGGCACTCACCCACGACCCCCCTTCCCTGCTATGATGGTTCGTCAGTAGCAGGTCCTAGACGACCCCCCCCCCCGGGGGCACGTGGGCAGAGCTAGCAGCAGCCAGGTGCACTGAGCCACAAGAGCTCTAGGGCACTCTGGGAGCAGCTCTGCCTGCTGCGCTCTCTGGTGCCTGTGGAGATGCCTAACTGACAGGAGAGTTAGTGAGGACAGGAACGCTCGCTCTTGGCCCAGGTCCGCTGTATCCATGGCTCTCCTGACCAATCTGCTGCCCCTGTGCTGCTTGGCACTTCTGGCGCTGCCAGCCCAGAGCTGCGGGCCGGGCCGGGGGCCGGTTGGCCGGCGCCGCTATGCGCGCAAGCAGCTCGTGCCGCTACTCTACAAGCAATTTGTGCCTGGCGTGCCCGAGCGGACCCTGGGCGCCAGTGGGCCTGCCGAGGGGAAGGTGGCAAGGGGCTCCGAGCGCTTCCGGGACCTCGTGCCCAACTACAACCCCGACATCATCTTCAAGGATGAGGAGAACAGTGGTGCGGACCGTCTGATGACCGAGGTAAGGAGGGCCTCTCCCTACCTGAGCCAGGGCACTGCCAGGTCCTCCGTTTTCCTGTGGCAGCCCAGGAGGGTGAGTCCAGCTTCACCTACAGAGACTTTAGCCTTAAAGATCTTCCTTGTCACCAGCCCCGGGAAGGGGGGGAATCCTTACTGGCTGGACAGAGTGGTTAGGAGGGATCCTGACTAGAAGAGTCTGGGATGGGGAGGGGAGGAGGGACTGACTAGTGAGAGTGAAGCTGGGAGAGGCAGCGAGGGCGGGGAAAGGAGGATGGCGGCAGGCGAGACGGGAAATGGCTGAGGCGTGGACCGGGGGTCAGCCACCCAGCCAGGCAGGAAGGGCTGGGGTGAGCTGGGGGCCAGGAGCTGGCTAGGCAGCAGACAGAAGCCTAGCTCCTGACCTGATTGTAGAAAAGCTCTGTGGGCCGAAAAGAAGAGACTGAAAAGGGCTGGGACAGGGGTGGCCAAGGGTCAGGTCACCAGACGATGTACCTGAGGAGGGGCTGGGCAGAAATTGCTTTTGGCATGGGAAACATGTCCTAGAACCAGGACACATCTATTCTAGGGTCTATTCTAGGGCTATCCTAGGGTCTAAATGACAATTTTGGGGTAAAAAGTCATCCTCAGTGAGAATAACAGATGGGCCCACCTGAGAATCAGAGGGCTCCTAAGTCTTCCAAGCTCTGCCTATCTCAGGGGCTTTCCTTGGAATTACACAATTAAGATAAATTCAACTACCATTTTTGAGCACTGGAACTGAATCAGCCTAGAGTGAGGTGGGCAATGCCTTGGAAGAGAAGGACCACCTCTGGCCAGTGATTTATTTTTTATTTTTTGTAGAGATGAGGTCTTGCCATGTTGCCTAGGCTAGTCTTGAACTCCTGAGCTCAAGGGATCCTCGGCCTCCCAAAGTGCTGAGATTACAGGTGTGAGCCACTTCACCCAGCCTGGCCAGTGATCTTGAATGTTAGAACTGAAAGAAAACTTGGGAGATCACATTCCTCCAACCCTCCCCACCCTGACTGCCACCCTCATTTTACATCTGAGAGCTGGACTTCCCCCAGGAGGAAAAGCAGTTTAAACTCTCACAATTTAAAGTGGCATGGCTGGGACTAGAATTCAGGACTCCTGATTCTGAGCCCTATATACTTTCCATTACACCACCTAATTGTGTATGGAGTGGGGAGGTGAGGGGAGAGGGAGGGGTACGGATTTCCTCTGATTAATTGCCATAGTTTTCCAGGTTACTTTGTTAGGAAAACCTGTCCAGGGGAGAAAGAATTCCTTTTGCTTCTGCCCTGAAGCCTTCCTCCTACCCAGAGATTGGAAAAGGGGCATTTCTTCTTTCCTCCTTGGCCATGGAACATTGTGACCCTTTTCTCTGGTTGCCACCTGCAGCAGAGTGGGCAGAACAAGGGACAGGCTCAGGAGGGGCTCCCACAGGCTTGGGAGCCCCCTCAGCCTTACTTATCTCCCACACCCTGGCTGCAAAAGGCCTCCATTGAGTTGGCTCTGCACTGGGCTGCTGCCCCCGCAGGTCAGGGCCTCGGGGCCTCCTTAGGGGACGAAACGACAAAGTTGGAAGGAGCTACCACTTTTCCTGTTTTCCCCCCACCCCCCAACTCTGCGGAGGTGGAGGCGACTAGAGAAGGAGAGGGGGAAAAGTGTCCTTCTGTTAGGAGGAAACCAAGTCCGAGGTGAGAAGTCGGAGGGGAAAGAAAAAAAGGAAGCTGTCCCTCTGCGCCTCCTCCCGCGGTGTCCCTGCTATGGTGCGCGCCAAGGTCTCCCGCTCCCAGGCTGGAGCGGCCAAGATAACTGTGGTCTCACTCCCCCAGGTGCAGGCTTACAGCCGCAGCTTCTTTTCCTCTTCTCCACGCTCACCCTGCAGGGGGCTCCCCAGATCCGCGCAAGGATCCCGTTATTCTCAGGTGCTATTCTCACGCCCTTCTGGGCTGCATTTAGAGCAGAGATGGGAGAGATGGGGGCTCTCCGGACTGGCAGAGCCTTAGCTGGAACTGGGAAGACTGGCCACGCGGGGGGAGGGGACCTAGCCGGACGGAGCAGGGATGGGGGGCGCGGCTTTCTGCCCTTTCCTCTCCCTGAGCCGGGGCGGCTGAAAAGCGCCTTTGTGGCCGGAGCTGCTGAGTCCGCTTCTCCCTGCGCGTCCCCGGCCTGGGCTCAGGATTCTCGCTCGGTTAAGTCATCCCGGAGAATGGCCATTGTACTTCGCGCAACCCCCGCCACCCCAATCCTTTTTCCAGCAGCCTTGATCCCGCACAGCTCCTCTTGGGCACCTCTGTGGGGGTCACCCGGAGCACGAAGGGGTTAATGCTAGGGGCCGAAAGGAGGAGGAGGAAGGAAGGAAGGAAGCGATGCCCGGTGCCAGGGAAGGCAATGAAACAAAAGATGAATCAGGCGGAGGGAGGAGAGCCGGTGCCTGGGGCGGGGGCCAGGCTCAAACAGGGGCTCCCCGGGAGCAACCAGGCCCTCCCTGACCACGCTTCCATTCGCCCTCCCAACTCTGGCCTTCTCCCAGGTTAAGCCGCTGTCCCAGAATCCATAGGGGTGAGGGACGGGCATTAAAAATGTGGAAGGAGGTAGGTATGGGCATCCACTCTCAACCTCAGAGGTGACCCCACAGTTCTCCAACGACGCCCTGGGAACGGAGTGCAGATTGGCGACTACCATCTATTCAGATTCTCATTTCTCCAGGACACTCAAAAGCTGGGAGGGGGAGGAGTGGGGCCGGAATAACAAAGAATCAACCCTCCTATCCAGGTCCCTTTTGCCCCCAGGGTAGTGGTGGGAGACTGACTCCTTTATTCCCCGCCAGCGTTGTAAGGAACGGGTGAACGCGTTGGCCATTGCGGTGATGAACATGTGGCCCGGAGTGCGCCTAAGAGTGACTGAGGGCTGGGACGAGGACGGCCACCACGCTCAGGATTCACTCCACTACGAAGGCCGTGCTTTGGACATCACCACGTCTGACCGCGACCGCAACAAGTATGGGTTGCTGGCGCGCCTCGCAGTGGAAGCCGGCTTCGACTGGGTCTACTACGAGTCCCGCAACCACGTCCACGTGTCGGTCAAAGCTGGTACAGTAGGAGGAGGGTGGTAAAATCCGCCCAAAGGGGGCTCCCTCCGTTAAACTGAGTCTGCAGTAGTCCTGTTGCCACCCTAGGGGAGACCAAGCGGGCTTTAGTGTTGAAAAATACCCGTCCAGGGGCCGAGGCGGTGCCTCACGCCTCTAATCCCAGCACTTTGGGAGGCCAAGGCGGGAGGATCACTTGAGGTCAGGAGTTCGAGATCAGCCTGGCCAACATGGTGAAATCCCATCTGTATTATAAATACAAAAATTAGTCGGGCGTGGTGGCGCATGCCTGTAATCCTAGCTACTCGTGAGACTGAGGCAGGAGAATCGCTTGAACCCAGGAGGTAGAAGTTGCGGTGAGCCGAGATGCTGCCACTGCACTCCATCTACTGGGCGACAGAGGGAGACCCTATCTCAAAATAAATAAATTAATTAATTAAATAAATTAGAGAAGAAAAAGGAAAAGAAAAGAAAGAAAACCACCCTTCCTTTTCTGCCCAGGTTGGGGCCAGTCAGGTTAATGGGAAATTGTGTTGTCCAGGACTGGCGATGTCTGCGCTGGCCTTGAGACTCGGTGCCATCATTCTGAAACCACTGGTCTTGATTCAATCCTCCCTGTGGTTGTTCCCTGCAGATAACTCACTGGCGGTCCGGGCGGGCGGCTGCTTTCCGGGAAATGCAACTGTGCGCCTGTGGAGCGGCGAGCGGAAGGGGCTACGGGAACTGCACCGCGGAGACTGGGTTTTGGCTGCCGATGCGTCAGGCCGGGTGGTGCCCACGCCGGTGCTGCTCTTCCTGGACCGGGACTTGCAGCGCCGGGCTTCATTTGTGGCTGTGGAGACCGAGCGGCCCTCACGCAAACTGTTGCTCACACCCTGGCACCTGGTGTTTGCGGCTCGAGGGCCGGCGCCCTCGCCAGGCGACTTTGCACCGGTGTTCGCGCGCCGGCTACGCGCTGGGGATTCGGTGCTGGCGCCCGGCGGGGACGCGCTTCGGCCAACGCGCGTGGCCCGTGTGGCGCGGGAGGAAGCCGTGGGGGTGTTCGCGCCGCTCACAGCGCACGGGACGCTGCTGGTGAACGATGTCCTGGCCTCGTGCTACGCGGTTCTGGAGAGTCACCAGTGGGCGCACCGCGCTTTTGCCCCCTTGCGACTGCTGCACGCCCTAGGGGCGCTGCTCCCTGGCGGGGCCGTCCAGCCGACTGGCATGCATTGGTACTCTCGGCTCCTCTACCGCTTGGCAGAGGAGCTGCTGGGCTGAGCGTCCCAGGCATAGAAACCTCGAAGCGCCCGAGCAAACGAGGGCCTGCTGGCTGAGATGTGGGGGTGTGGGCAGCAGACGATGCCGACTGGAAGGGAGGGAGAGGGAGGGGGAGGGAGAAAATGGGGCTATGCCTGGCTTAGGGGCAACCTTGAACTCAGAGGAGGTGATCCCGGGTCCTAGGTAGGTGGGGCTGATGGTGCGCACTCCTTAAAGAGGACTATTTAGGCTGGGCGCGGTGGCTCACGCCTGTAATTCTAGCACTTTGGGAGGCCGAGGCGGGTAGATCACAAGGCTAACACGATGAAACCCCGTCTCTACTAAAAATACAAAAAAAAGGCCGGGCGCGGTGGCTCAAGCCTGTAATCCCAGCACTTTGGGAGGCCGAGACGGGCGGATCACGAGGTCAGGAGATCGAGACCATCCTGGCTAGCACGGTGAAACCCCGTCTCTACTTAAAAAAATACAAAAAACTAGCCGGGCGAGGTGGCGGGCGCCTGTAGTCCCAGCTACTCGGGAGGCTGAGGCAGGAGAATGGCGTAAACCCGGGAGGCGGAGCTTGCAGTGAGCTGAGATCCGGCCACTGCACTCCCGCCTGGGCGACAGAGCGAGACTCCGTCTCAAAAAAAAAACAAAAAAAAAAAAAAAAAAAAAAAAAAAAAAAAGAAAAAAAATATTAGCCAGGCGTGGTGGCGGGCGCCTGTAGTCCCAGCTACTCGGGAGACTGAGGCAGGAGAATGGCCTGAACCCGGGAGGCGGAGCTTGCAGTGAGCCGAGATCCCGAGATCCCGCCACTGCACTACAGCCTGGGTGACAGAGCAAGACTCTGTCTCCAAAAAAAAAAAAAAGAGGACTATTTAGCCTCTCCCCCAGTGCCTCAGCCCCACCCAATAATTTTATTTTATTTCTTATTTATAAATTGTAATATAATGATTCCCTTGCCCAGCTTGCCAAGGTGAGGGGCTGGGGCATGGCATTAACACTGTCTGACACCGCCAGCCAGTCTGACATCTGACATTTTCCTACAAGGCGGGCTAATAAAGGGAAGGCTTTCAGGAGCTTACTGGAAAACACCTCCATTCAGAGGGTGATTCACCTCCAGAGAGGGGGAGAAAGGTAGCCAACCTGAGTTAACACCTTACTTCCGGCTTCCCCTCCTTCCTCAGCAGGGTCTTTGGGACCCCTTTCCTCCCTTCAGAAGGGGCATCCCAACCCATAAGCAACAGAGCCCACAAGAGTCGTACCTTTTTCCAGGCTGCTGTTTCCATCTCCCACCCAGAGAGGATCAGCATTTTGCTTCTGTGGCTGAAGGGGCCAGGGTTGTCTGGGGTGGGAAAGACTGTGCACACCCCTTCTCTGTTTATAGGGGCTCCAGCAGGGGCCCAGGCCCTTATGAGTACTGATACTCAAAACATCTAGTCCCCTATTATTAGCCAGTAGTCCTGGTCCCCATCCTACCCTGGTGGCAGGGCCTGGATGGGGTGGATGTTTTTTCTGATATGCCACTGGGCCAACTGATGATCCATGGGAAACCTGGCTAATAACTTGGCAATCCTCACATACTCGTGGCCTGTAAAAGGAAGGGGAGCACGGTAAGGGGATGGAATATTTCCTTAGGAAGGGCTGCTCAGAGAGAGAGAATGGGTTAGGCTTGGGTGTATGTGGGGGAAGTAGATTCTCTAAACAAAGGCATATCAGCATTACAACCTGAGCTCCCCTCCTCATCGCTGGCCCTGATTGTTGTTTCTACTGGCTTGGTCTTCTGTGCCTCCTCTTCCCTCTCCCATTATCACCAGCTGTGCTTCCCTAGCCTGGGTGTTTTTGGAACCTTTAGGTTCCAACGCAGTAGACACCTGGAATCCAGGCAGGCGGGTGTCCCTGAGTTAGGAATGGAAGCTCAGGAGGAAGCTGGGCTGCTCCAGAAGGGAAGTGTCTTGGGTGGAGGTGAGGCAGGGAGGAGGAAATAGTCCTCCTCCCTGCCTCACCTCAATAGGGGATTGTTGGTACCACCCGGAGCTCGCCCTTGTGAGTAGCAGAAGTGCGCTCCCACCGCACAGGGTCCCTGCTATACACCGCCCTCTGGTGGCCTTCAAGATAATTCTAGGCCTATGCTTGTGGTTCTCTGAAACGGAAGGAAAGAGGCCTCAGACATGGAAGGGTGTACTGGACCTGCGCAAAGGAGCCTGCTCCCAGGAGGGGAGGGATGATGGGTGGGCCTTGTTAAGCTGCCAGTGCTGAGCCACGCATATCAGGAGCTATCAAGGAGTCCACCTGCTTCTCCTTGGGAAAGTCCTTCCAAACCATGGCACTTTTATATCCCTCCTGCCTAGTTTAGCTCTGTGGTTCCTGGAAGCTGCAGATGCCCTACTAGTATACCTGTAGTAGCCCAGACTTCCTTACATATCAAAGTTGCTGCCTCATGTCCCTCACCCTCATGACCCTTGAGTTCAGTTGTCAAGGAAGTGAAAGCATAATAGTGTTCCAGGTAGTGCTTGATAAAGGCAATATTCGGAAGCCGGCCAAGTTTACCTTTGGTGTCCTTCCACCTACCGCTGCCCTCAACCCACACTGGGGGTCTGTTGCACCTTTGTTTTTCCGTGTCTCAGAAACACATCCCAAGCTGTGGACCTTTCCTACTTTCTAAACCTACCCTTGTCTCTTTTTATCAGATCTGGTGCCTTCCTGTCACGTCACCACAGGTGATGACAAATCTGATAAACGAATTAGTTTTCCTATGTTGATGGGCTCCTTGGTTTTACTGCCCTTCCCAGGTAATCAGGTAATGCATATATATACATGTATTTTTAAACAGACAGGATCTCGCTCTGTCGCCCATGCTGGAGTGCAGTGGTGCGACCTTGGCTCCCTGCAGCTTCAACCTCCTGGGCTCAAGCAATCCTCCCATCTCAGCCTCTCAAATAGCTGGGACTACAGGTGCATGCTGCTATGCTTGACTAACGTTTGTATTTTTTGTAGAGATAGAGTCTTGTTACGTTGACCAGGCTGGTCTTGAACTCCTAGGCTCCTGCCTTCGCCCCACAAAGTGCTGGAATTACTGGTGTGAGCCCCTGTGCCCAGCAGTAATACATATATCTTACAGTTTTAACCTTTAACCATAAAATCATAATGGTGATGATTCCTAGCACTGTAATAAGTTAGCTAGGGAGATGTTTCAGGACAAGGAGAACTCATTGGTTTCCCTTAAACTACATTCTGTAAGTAATTTTCTAGGCTTGAGGTTTACCTCTCAACCCGCACTTCCTCCCTTCATTATCTTTATTCCTTTGAGTCCCCTCCTAGCTCTCAAAAAAAAAAAAAAAATGCATGACTTGCCTTCAAGCAGCATCTCGGTGTAGCAGGTGGGCATATTCACTTGGCCATGCAATACCTCCCAATTGCAGCACATTTTACCATCAACAAAATAGTCAATGATGATTCAGCTTATAAGTCAGCCAGATCTGGGGATAATGATACCTCTGTGACAGGATGGTTGACAAGGATTGTGCTGGATGTGGAATAGGCACTCAGTAAATATTTTCTATTCTTTGGCCACTTCTCACTGACTTTGCTGCCTTCCGATTGCTTCTTTCCTCACCATTCCACTAAAAGCATCAGTCGTGCAAACTTTCTGGGGTTGTGTCACAGCACTTTCAGAAGCTGGAGGTATACTAGCAGCATTTCTGTAGTAGTCCAGATTTCTTTACATATTGAAGTTGACTCTTCATGTCCCTCACCTTTGTGACCCTTGAGCTCAGTAGTCAAGGAGGTGAAAACATAATGGGGTCCCAGGTAGTGCCTGAGACTACTCTTCTGAAGAAGTATAATTAAAAGTAATATTGTTTTAAGAATTTATGAAGCATTTTGTGATCACCCTGGCAATACCTGTCTGCGTATTGAGAAATCAGAGTTGAGGCCGGGCGCGGTGGCTCAAGCCTGTAATCCCAGCACTTTGGGAGGCCGAGAGGGGCGGATCACGAGGTCAGGAAATCGAGACCATCCTGGCGAACACGGTGAAACCCCGTACAAAAAAACTACCCGGGCGAGGTTGCGGGCGCCTGTAGTCCCAGCTACTCGGGAGGCTGAGGCCGGAGAATGGCGTGAACCCGGGAGGCGGAGCTTGCAGTGAGCCGAGATCGCGCCACTGCACTCCAGCCTGGGCGACAGAGCGAGACTCTGTCTCAAAAAAAAAAAAAAAAAAAAGAGAAATCAGAGTTGAGAACCACTGCCTAAAGGTTTCAGGTGACTTGTTTATCTGCCCAGAATCCAGTCTTTTATTCCTTCTTTCCTTCCTTCAAGCAGGATTTACTGAACATCTGCAGTGTAGCCCTGTATTCCCCACTGAAAAACACAAAAGGTTAACAAACAGCTTCTTCCCTGGGGAAGTAGACATAAACACAGAAAATATTTAACATTGTTACTTAATTTGGATGAGTTGAACCGGTGGTAAATGCCATATTAGTACAGAGAAGGCCTTGAGGAGAAAGGAGGGCCTGACTAAGATGTTGAAGCATGTGTAGGCGGAGGAGACTGGAAAGGGCATTCCAGGCAGAAGGAACATCATGAGCAAGGACTCAGAATCTGAGATGAAGCTGTGCAACTTATTCAGAGCAGAAGACTGGAAGTGTAACAATATGTAGCTAATGATTACTGAGAATTTAAGATATGCCAGGCCCTGCCCTGATATTTTAACTGCATTTTCTTTTCCCCCTCCCTCCCCTCCCCTTCCCTTCTTTCTAGTTTCATTCTTATTGCCCAGGCTGGAGTGCAGTGGCATGATCTCGGCTCACTGCAGCCTCTGCCTCCGGGGTTCAAGTGATTTTCCTGCCTCAGCCTCCTGAGTAGCTGGGATTACAGATGCCCGCCACCATGTCCGGCTAATTTTTTGTATTTTTAGTAGAGACGGGATTTCGCTGTGTTGGCTAGGCTGGTCTCAAACTCCTGATCTCAGGTGATCCACCCGCCTGGCCTCCCAAAGTACTGGGATTAAGGCGTGAGCCACCACACCCGGACTTTACCTGCATTTTCATTTAATCCTCACAATCACAATCTGAGATGGTGTTGCAGAAGAGGAAACTGAGACAA